ACTTAAGACTCTGAGGGGAAAAGGACACTGCCAAACTTACTTGGAGGTGGGTCTTTTGCTCATGGTTTGTGTTTGAATCCTGTTTGTGGTGTTTCCCCCAACATAATGCCACATTGTTTCCCTCCTTTATTAAAAGGCTTTTGCTACACTCAGACTCCGTGCTTGCGAGAGGGGAAGTATTGCCTCATAGAGGCGCCCAGGGGGGTGGTATGTAATTGTCCCAGGTCACTGGGTGGAGGCTCGAGCCGGTTTTGCATTGCGTTATTGAAATGGAACCCCTAGATACTGAACCCGGCCTCTGTTGCTGCCAACTCAGAGGGGCAGAAGGGTTACATTAACAAGAGAAAACACATTGGAACAATAACAACTATAATTCAATAAAACTACATTAGGTCAGCTCTTATCTGGCTTTAGTGAGAAGAGTTTGCAGGATCAGGCCTATGTTTCAAATGATGACTCTGGTTGTTGTAGATTATGAATGGGGTTTTCAGGCATTGTGCTTGAAATGTAAATCATTTAGGATTAGATTTACCATAAGTTAGTAGCTCAGTGCGTCCACATGGGACAGAGGAAACCTATACTCAACTCCCTGATCTGCTGGGTTTGAAGAGGGATTTGATCCCTAGCCTTTCACCTCCTAGGCCTTAACCACCAGACTACTGGCTATTTTGGAGTTTCACTTCTTTCTTTCCCTACAATGACATATAGGTATGTTTCTTTACCAGTCTCCCCTTTGTATCTTTTCATCAGATGTCTTCCAATGGGTGTTAATCTTGACAAACATTTCTTTGTATTTATACCACTGCACAAGGGCAAAACCATACTCTCTGCTGTACGAGTGACAGAGCACAGGAAGTTTGACCAATTTACACTGCATACCTCTTTGGAGTGTGTGTGTGTTTGTTTAATTGCAGAGTGCTGCTGGCAAGGGGAAGAGATGAGACAGCTCTATTCGTGCCACTTCAAGGCATCAGCGAGATTAACATTTATTGGATGAGCTCCTCAGCATTTCTCCGACCCTCTTAAACTAGATAAAAGGGCCAGAATGGCCTAACAGAGCTCTAAACTCCTGTTTCTGGTGGGGATGAATTCTTCTGGTGCAGGCATACCAGAAAACAGCCTTAAAGTTGTCTTCTAAGAACTCCCTCTCAAGCCTCATCTCTAGAGGGCATTGCCAAGGCCTGGACTGAGGTTTGGAGGAGTTTGTTGGGGTGAGACCTCAGTAGTGTAGAGATTTCAAGCTGCCTGGGGATAGGGTGCTGTGAGATAGGCCATCAGGGCTGTACATTGGAGGCAGTTCCACCACCTGAATATCCTAGAATTGTGAGCGTACAAGGGTGAATTGAAGCCACCATAGACCCTCCACCCCTGGGCTGATTTCTTTGCATGTACTTCTCAGATGTGTTAGTTAAATATCCTCACAGGTTACCTTATGGACAATACAAAACTTGCCAGAGTGTTTTAGCTATACAAGAATGCATAAGGAAATGTACCCTGAGTAGGGCTGGCTAGAAAACAATAATTCTGTGTTGCGCAAAAAAAAAAATTGAGGTTTTTACATTTGTTTTTGTTCATGCAGAACAAAAATTAGATATTTTAAAAAAATTCACAAAAAGCAAACACCCTAGAATAGCCACCCACCCAGGGTACTTACCACAGATGGATTGGAACAGGAACTTCAACTTTCACCCATAAAAGCTTATTTTCCATTAGTCTATACAGTGCCACAGTACTCTTGGTTGCTTTTTACAGATCCAGACTAACACGGCTCCCCCTCTGATACTTGAACTTAAACTTGGCTCTCCCATATTCCAAGCAAGTACCCTAATCACTGGTCTAGGTTGCGATGTGCTGCTCTCATCATACTGTGACTAGAAATTCCATCCTGAAGCTGAGAAATCTCGATGAAAATGCCTAACTCCATATAGTTTTGCAAAACATTTTGGCTTTGAAAGAAATGGCATTTTTAACCAGCTCTAACTTTGAGTATGATAAAAGGGTATGAGTGACATGCTGCCCTTTATACTGAATACACAAGATTATTTGCTGAATGCTTGCCAAAAAAGTACATAAACCTAATAACCCCGCCTCCTTAATGCTAACTTCACCCTTTCCTCATTTACATAGATGATAAAAATACCTCCTGTGGAAAAACAATATTGTTAATAATCACATGGTAAAGCTGCATTAGAGTGTGAGTTATAGGACATTGGGTGCACTATGTTGCAAGTGGAAGGAATTTTCGTGTGCAGGCTAGGACTCTGGTAGTAGGACTGGTTATTGTGATAATATGCACAGTATGACAAATACTATTTCCTTACCAGGCCTTTCCCTTGGTTGTTAGGGATTGGGTAATTGAGTTTTCCATTACACAAGTCTAATTTCTAAGCCAACAAAGCTTTTTGGAGGCAGGAATAACAGATTTCTTGCTCCAATTTGTTTTTTGACAGGGGAAGAAATATCAAACTGTTTGTAGGGTAAAAATTGCTACGCTCTTATTTTATTTGTTTGGGATGACATGTTAATTACAGTTCATTTATAATTGCTAGTATCTAGTGCTCTGAACATGCACAAAATCATGGGAGTTCACACACCACTTAGTATAAGCACTGCAACATGTATAACAATGCATATATTCTTGTTTTTCAGCAGGGTTCATGA